GCTGCGGGGGGGGGCCGGGAGGGTGGCGGTGTCCCCAGGAAGGTGATGATGTCCCTGGGAAGGTGGCAGCATCACCAGGGAAGGTGGCAGTGTCCCCAGGAAGGTGACAGTGTCCTTGGAAAGGCAGAACTGTCCCTGGGAAGGTGGCAGCATCCTCCAGAAGGTGATGATGCCCCCAGAAAGGTGGCAATGTCTCTGGGAAGGTGACAATGTCTCTGGGAAGGTGGAACTGTCCCCAGGAAGGTGACAATGTACTCGGGAAGATGGCAACATCCTTGGGAAGTTGGCTGTGTCCCTGGGAAGGTGGCAGTGTCCCCAGGAAGGTAACAATGTCCCTGGGAAGGTGGAACTGTCACTGGGAGGGTGGCAGCATCCTTGGGACAGTGGTGGTGTCCCCGGGAAGGTGGCAATGTTCCTGGCAAGGCAGAACTGTCCCCGGGAAGGTGGCAGTGTCCCCGGGAAGCGCCACGAGGCTGTGCTGCTGTCCTGACCTCCCTGTCCCCACGTTTTGTTGGTGTCATTCCCGCCCCCCCCCCCGGGGCCCCTCCAGCAGGGGGGGCTGGGCCCTTTCCGGGGGGGACACCCCGTCCCCCCGTTTTGTTGGTGTCATTCCCCCCCCCCCCCCCGGTGTCCCTGCAGCAGTGGGGGCTGCGCTCTTTGCGGGGGGTACAGTCAGGGCGATGCTTTGGAAGTGCCAGGTGGCATCGGGGACAGCGGGGGACACGGAGGCCGGGGGAGCGTGGGGCCGGGCACGGCTGGGAGCCCCCGGCTCTGGCCCAGCTGGCCATGGGGGCTCTGCTCCTCCGGGTCCCACCAGCCCTGTGACAGGGTGGGCAGCACGGGTGGCAGCGAGCCCCCGGGCACCCCGCAGAGCCCAGCCAGGCGCCCCCCCGGCGGGCAGCCGGCCTTTGGCGCGGCTCTGGCGTCACAGCCTGGCATTGCACCCTGGCACCCGTGCAGCCCCGGTATTGCACCCTGGCATTGCTGAGGCCCTGGCACTGCACCCTGGCATTGCTCCCTGGCATGGATTCAGCCCACCATTGCACCCTGGCATTGCATGCAGGCAGCAGTGCAGCCCTGACATCACACCCAGGCATCCCACACTGGCATGGGTGCAGCCCGGCATTGCACCCTGGCATCGCTGCAGCCCTGGGTGCAGCCCTGACATCACACCCTGGCATTGCACCCTGGCATGGGTGCAGCTCCCCGCCACGTCCCCACGGGAGCGGCTGCCCGTCGTGGGGTCCCCAAGCTGGCAGCAGGCACCAGGACCTGGCAGCGCAGGCAGCAGCGCTTTTTCTACCCGGGGGTGGGTTACTCCGCTCTCAGCAAGGGACGGCGGTGACAGCGCCAGCCTCGGCACGTGCTGCCTCACCCTGCGCGTCCCTCAGGAGGGGGGGACAGCGGTGTCACCTGCGTGGGACGGGCAGCATGTGGGGACAGCGAGGACACCGGGGCTGGCGTCACAGGCTGCAGCTAGGGTGGGGTGGCACAGAGCAGGGACCCACGGTGACATCCCTGGCTGTGGCACTGACGTCGCGCCAGCCCCGGCAAGGTGTCCTGCCGCCGCGGCGTCCCCCTGACTCTGCCCTCCCGCAGGTCTGCTCCGTTTTGAGGTCCCCTCCCTCCACGTCCCCCCGGATGCCACCCTGGGCCGGGACCCGCCGGAGGCACCGCAGAGACTCTCGGGGCCAGGCCCGGCCACCCGGCAGGAGGAGGAGGAGGAATCGGAGAGCACAGCCCTATGACAGTGTCCCTGTCCCCAAGCTCATCCTTGCGGCACCCAGGGGCCAGCAATGGCCACCGGCACCGAGGGCCACCGGCACGCCAGTTTTGGGTGGCAAAGCACCCGGTTTGGGGGCGGTCGCTGTTCTTTATTTCATTTTATTTTCGCCTTATCCAGACTTTGCCTTTTGACCGGGTGCCTGCGCCCCCCCCCCACCCCGCAGCACCCACGGTCCTGGGGTGACGCCACCATCTCGTCCGTGCCCCGGCGGCGGGTGCCACCGGCTACCGGCCAGGTGACAAGCAGCTCGCTGGCGCTTTGCAGCGGGATTTCATTTCTTTGGCTTCTTCCCCCTCCGCTTGTTCGCCGGAGCAGGATGGGACCTGACCAGCAATAACCTGGGGATGCAGGATGCGGCCCCCCCGGGCTCGCCAGGTGCCGGCGGGCGAGGGCACGCGTCCCTCGGCACCCGCTGTCCCCGTGGGTTGGTGGCTTTGGTCGTGCATGCGAAGACAAATTAACCTTTTATCCTTTCCAGAGAGATAAGAGAGAGAGATATATATATATTTGCAGAGATATATATATATTATATATTTGTATATATAGAGAAGAAATATATAGAGATTTGTTTTATTTGGAGCCATTCCCGCCCACCCGGTGCACAGGGGGAGGACGGAAATGGCAGCGCTTCGCCCCCCGCCCCGCTTGCGCCGTGCCCCCGGCCCCAGGCGGGCCCCCCGGGGCCCCCGGACCCCCAAGC